CTGACTGCAATTATAACAGTTGTCCGATGATTGTACGAGTTTTGGTCTATGGAAGCATATTTAGGAGCTTAATACGGTTATAGATCCGCACGTATGAATGTATGCATACCCACTACGGTACACACATATATTTGAGGATGTTATCTCAATTTAAGGTCATTTTAGTGCTTAGGCAATCCGAGCACTGTGATCAAAGCCTTTAAAGCTGTGAGGGCATTCATCCGCATGCAGTGCAGTGTAACGCGGAGCAAATGTATTGGAAGCTCGCTCGGTCAGCGGTGTTCCAGTGATAAATAGCGCGGGTTCCGTATAAAATACTGGCATTGTTCAATTGCACACGCTATGGAGGTCGATCACATTTAGAAAATGCTAATTAAGTATAGTAATACTAAAAGTTAATGGCAATTTTATCTATTACGTATTATTATCAAATTACATTTCATATTAATTATGTGCTCCTATATAATAAACAGGCCATGCTAGATAGCTGTATAGATAACTCAGAGATAACTCATAGTCTACAGTTAGGTACGAAGGAATCCAAGCAAAGCGAGGATAAATCGATAGCTTGTCAAAATAAAATCTCAGTAATATTGTTTGAAGTGGTCACGAAATTTAACCCCGTGCAGAGTAGATGCAGTCTCACTAGAATGCCCTGTGTTTTGGATCTATTAACCATACACAAAAACGGAAACAAATACTCGTAAGTACGAAATATTACATACAAGTATGAAATAGTACATACATATAAGTATATGGCCGATGTAAATATTTGTCCCAATTTAAGCGTGGATCGAACCTGTAATCTTTATAGAGGTGCTAGGCGATTCGCATCAATTTTCCAATGGATTGTCACATTTACATGATATGGGAGTATGATATACATGTACATAATATGTATGTACAATGTATGTATATATATTATTCCGGTCTAATGGAGAGCGGCGCGGTGTTGCGAACCAGTTGCCGACATTCGACACGAGATTGTTGAGACACTCTTAATGTGTGATATGTTTTTCTCCACGGAATAGACAGCCTGCTATATTGGTAATATTATTTATTGACTTAAAAAATAAGTATTTTCTCAACTTTTTTACTGTATGTTATGCGATTGTAAATAATTGCAGTACCTCGATGTTAACACCATATAGATTTGAACAAAAATCCACAGAGGTGGAATAAATATACTTTTAGGTAATTTTAAAGCCGGTGTTACGTTTTTAGTTAAAAATAAATTGATTGCACTTCACAATTGAATAACCTATGTACAAAGTATAGTTAATGAAACAGAGAATATATTAGCTTCTCTCTTGTCCTGGTTTAAGCAATACTTCTTGTAGGTATAAAAATAATATCTCTCTCATTTGCAAAGCAAATATATTTTTAAAAATAAAAAACAAACATGTTAGGGCCATTATTAAAAATAATAGCGTTAACATGTTTGTTTTTTACCATTTTTACCATTTTTAACAGTTAAAAACTGTTAAAAATGGTAATATAGTGAAGTTTTAAGTGAAATTAGCAGATCATTGTCCTGTAGATCAACAGAAATTCTGAATTCTACATATTCACATGCTATGCAGCCGAGTTCTGCGAGTAACCAAATAATAATAAATGAATATAGACATTCATATTAATAAGAATGTTCCTACTGCAAGTTGTGATGTATACTTAAGGAGCAGGAATATACATTGTAAAATGTACTCATGTTAAATTTATGTAAGACTAGCATTGCCCACGGCTCCGCCCGCGTTCAGATGACCAAAAACTAAATTCTTAGGTTTTACATCTTAGTATACTCTTACATTGCAGTTTTTGTATTTTTTCTCAGAAATGAGATATTTTTCCGCGGTAAAAATTATCCTATATATCGACCTGGATAGCCAGCTATGACCATACCAAATTTCATCAAAATCCCTCCAGTGGTTTTTCTGTGATGCAGTAACAGACAAACAGACAGACAGACAGGCAAACAGACAGACAAAAATTCTAAAAACTATAGATTCGGCCTCTGTATCGATAATAATGTTTATTTCAATAAGATTTTCCAAAAAATATGTAATGTGCAGATTCGGCTTAGTTACAATTTTATTTATTTTTATTTTTTTATTTTTATTTTTATTTATTAGGGAAACAAACAGTACAAATTGATACAAATTAAAAAACAAAACATAAAATATAAATCATTGACCAATAAAGTTTCCACAATTAAATAGTACATAGAATAATGCGAGCAAATTAATTACAATTAAAAAAAAAATTAACTAAAATAATAATTAAATAAAATAATAATCATATGAATAGAAAATAATTAATGTTTTAGTAATAATTACATAATTATAGTTAATAAAGAGTCGCAAATATAATTTAATACAAATAAAAATAATTTAAACTAGGTCATTTTCTTAATTTGTTGAGTTAACTTCTGTAACGAACCCGTAAAGTAATCAATTGAACAGTATTCTTTGTTATATAAGAAACAAGAACGATGAATGAAGGCATTTTGTGCATATTTGGTACGTGTAGTATTTAAATAAAATAAAGATTTAATTCGCGAAGATTGTCTTGGACATCGGAAGTTAATGATATTTATTATATGTATAGATTTAGTTTAAGATACTCTGTATATTATGTTAGCTTTCTACTTAAATAAATAATTTTTATTCCGTGACCTTTTTTTCAATTAACCAAAAGTTCTAAAATAGTAATTACAAATTTTTAATGAAGTCATAACATATATAGATAGGTAGTAGCACAGATCATATAATACTATACTGGTAAGGATGGATGGATGCCAGGATAGATGGATAGATAAATGTTCCACCATATAGATCTCGTTTTGATTTTGCTGTTGTTACTTTTTGTAATAACTAATAAATTCGTTAAGCAAGAAATAAAGTAATTTATTTAGGTCAAAATTGATCTATTTAACTTAAAGGCTACTGAGTATAGCCCATAACTTTGTGCGGGACAACTTCACCTGTCATATATTTTCTTGATTAATCCGCCAATAAAATTATCCATGTTATAATATCAACTCTCCTCTGAGATGTTAAAGAATAAGATATGGAGAGAAGTATATAGAGAGTATTATATAATTTTTATTTTTTGAAATTCAATTTAAGAAATTTATTACATGAGCTACTCCAGAGGTTTTGCTACATACGATTTTTCTTACATATAACAACTTTTTCTATAACATACTTAATATGAATATCATGTATAGATAGAGTATGTATTTACGCGTGTGTATTGAGCGCTCGTTCGCAATCCCTTCGAGTATTACACGACCTTATTTATTAGACGTAGAATTCGTCCTGATTTTTCAACGTTCAATTTGTTACATTCTGCACGAATTCACGTGGGCTTTACTGTAAATTGATTTACATCCATCACAAGATTTCAACGTTGATGTTTCGCTGCAGCCGCGCAAATGAGGGTACTTTACTGATTCATGGGAAGTGTATGTGCCTGATTTTTTTATCACATTATTTAGAGTGAGATGAAACACCATCGATACAAATGATCACTCACGCGAAAAATATGGACTGTTTCCCGGAAACGCTACGATTTCTTCCAGAGAATGTATGAAGGTGCATTTTTTTGTTTTATATTGTCTGTGCCAACAGCTTTTACTATATATTACTTATAATTAAATAATATTTGCAATTAAATTAAGCAATTCGAGATTTTCGTACAATCCAAAAGATTTTTTGTATCAACCAGCTATTTGTATAATAAAAAGACAAATGTCTTTACGATAGCAAATAATCTCGCTATCGCTAAAAATTTTAATGGAAATAGATCGTATTATATACACTTTACACTCAAACCATTAGTGAAACGCGTTTTAGAAAGCATAAACACTGAATTTAGACATTTGAGATCACTTCACGTTTGCGCAAACATCTGCTCGCAACAGATGGAGTTTGCTCTAAAGATCAGGTGGAGTGCATGAATTGCCTTCAATATAGCATCCAACAAACAAACCACACTTATGACGCAATAGTATCGTGAACTCATAATATATATATATATATATATATATATATATATATATATATATATATATATATATATATATATATATATATATATATATATTATGAGTTCACGATACTATTGCGTCATAAGTGTGGTTTGTTTGTTGGATGCTATATTGATTGATTGCACTATATATATATATATATATATATATATATATATATATATATATATATATATATATATATATATAGTGCAATCTGCTGGGCCCGCGATTAATGCTAGTACACTTAAAAATATTTTGGCATTGTTCTTATTATTTTGTGACTTAATTTAAAAAAAACATTAACGCAACGACCTAAAACTTGTTTTTATTCAAATTCCATCCACAATGTCATACGGTTAATGTTAATGTTCTTTGTTTGTTGTGTGTGTCTGTATTTAAGTTTAATCTTGTTTATTCATTAGTTAAAAATATATTTATAAAAATTTAGTTGATATTTATAAAATTTAGTCATAGTTTTGTAAAAAAATCATAAATAATGTAAAAAATGAAATTTTTGTTTTGAATTGATGAATTTTCAAAAATCTTCCTAAGAGTAACTTTCGGTATCTAAAGAACTCTGGTGGAAATTGTCATGCTTCTAAGTCCTACGGTTTTAGCTCTTCATTAACAAATATTTTTATTATTATTATTTATTAAATAAATATAAAAACAAACGCATGTGGAAGAATAAAAATGGTCGCAATAAATTATAACGGTATAAATATCACTTTATTTCGTCCTCTAGTTATTCCGTTTACCTGCTTGTTCATTTTCATTGCTTGACGTTTATAGTTACATAAAGTGACAAGTGTCCACAATCACGAACAAATGATTGTTTTCTCTTATTGAGATTTTATCTTAAAAATAACTTAGAATTTTCTGCCTCTGTATTTTTGTATATTTAGCTAACAAGGAATAATTTAAGAAAATTCTTGAATGTTCAATTAATTAACATAAATTAGTGTCATTAGTGATGTAAGTTTGTTCTCGTTTCTCCGAATGTAGCAACTAATTTGCGACCCCCGGGACCGCAATTAGGGCGCCGGCTGGCGGCGAGCGGAGGGCGGCAGAGGGCGGCGTGCGGTTGATTCCAATTTGGTATTCGCGTAGAGACGTACTTGCGTTGTGCAGGTGACGTCTCTATCGCCGACAGGCCTTTGACATAATATCCTATCAAACTTGCACTGATCGAGCTATTTGATACGTTTACACAGGACATGATGACGACATAATGTTTAATAGTTAGTTACACATGACATTTTATTTGAATAGTTATATTCAAATATGAACTATATATAAGTTGTTCATTTCGATTGGGAATCGAGAAATGGGGAGTCTTAACAATCTATCGGAGAAGATATTCTTAAGTGTCTCTTCTCTGTCTTAAATGTTAGTATTTAAATTAATTTAACTGAACTAATTTAACAAAATTCTCTAATTTACTAAATTTCTGTTGCTCCTCACACGTAGGGCCCCAGGACTGTGGCAACGTTTCCCCTAATTAAGCCACTTTTTATATATTCCTATGTGTCATTTAAATTGTGTACGTATATTAAGATTAAAAAAAAAACAAAAATGTGTTCAAAATTTATTTCAAAATATACCTATCAGAAAATAAACTTAAAACTTTGAATAATACTATAAAAAACGATTTAAAAGTTAACAATATGGAAGATGCCTAATACATGAAGCAAATTTAAGAACTCTCCAAGTATCCACGCCAAACAATTGACTGTGCCAATGAACGTGGCAAATAAAATAATTAAATACTACAAGTGAAGTTACAAGGCGTCTAAAGACTAAACGATCTAAGGGCCCTGTATTAGTCAGCGCGCCATGAGTGCTCTGCGCGATGATGGATAAACAACAGTATTCCCAAGGAGGGTTGACGTCAGGCAGGCGTGAGGCGGCCGGTCGTAAAACTTTTGCCAAATCCTATCAGCAGTACGGAAGAAATACTGCGCCGACCACAAGTGATTGGGAAATTTACGAATGATGATTAAGATTATAAAAAATGTATTTATATTTTTCATAACCTTTTATAACGAGCATTTCCGTTTTTTACATCAAATGAAGCATTTTTTTTCTTCATTTCCCTTATGAACTAACTTTAAAAGTAAATAAGAGAATTAGTCGTAAGGAAACTAAATCGCGTAAGTGTTTACGGCTGAACCCCCACTGCCTTTGCCTCGTTAGAGAGCCCAGTGAAGAAGGATAAATAAATAGATTTTAGAGCGCACTTTCAGACGAATAATTCCCTCTCCGGACAGCGTTCAATCGCGCGGAATAACGTGGGGTAACATCAACAATTTTATACAAATCCATCCGACCGTTAGCCAGACGGAGCAATAAACGTCTAAAATTGTGAACCTTATTTAGAACTTTATTTCATGAGTCTTGATCTTATTTAAGTTTATTTATTAAAATTGAAAGTTGAATTTACGAAATAACTATTAAATTATGTGTAATAGATAAAACTTTAGGCATCTTTTATCTACATGCTATAAAAAACACAGATAACTTTCATTTCAATTGATCGAGAGGACCTACACAATATATACTCAGTTCGAGCGCCCGCCGCTATCTATTCATAAAAACTTAAAAAAACCGACTTCCAGGCACTAAAATGTAAAAAATAACAAAACGGAGGTTTTCATTTAGAATAGATACCTAATCAGATATTTTCGAAGTCTGTGCCAGCCGATGCAAAGCAAATCTAATATATTTCGATACGTAAAATATATGTATATCAGCTGTTCATATCTTAAAATATTGTCGGTTTTTTGGAAGTCGGTTAAAAAGGAAGGTCATTAGGTAAAGCTAAAATTGGTGTAATGATAACTTATTATTCGGGTCAACATATAGGATACTTTTTAGTATATGAAGAATTTTAATACCTACGGGAAAACACAATAACTGGTTCTATAAAGTCGTCTTTAGAAATTTCTATGGCTAACGCTGACTTAACCTTAAGAGATACATCAAAACAATGTACTAGAAAACTGTAGGTCTTATTAAGGCCTACAGAAAAATCTGTAATAGCATAAGTCTTTCTCCTGAGGTGCACTCACAATAGTTATTCATATATATTTAAAATGTAGAGAGTAAGTCACAAGTATCAAATACAATACTTGGAAAAGCTACATGGTAACTAAGCATATTGTATCACTCTGTGTGATTGATTGTGGGCAATAGAACCTTCGAGTTGCGACCGTCTTCATTTGTCAGAGCTCAATGTCTACTTCATCTCAAAATCAGACCTGCAGGTTTCTGACTCGATTCCTGTTCATTAGTATGGTTGGATCTTAATATATTCATGACTTTTTAAATAAAACTATCTTTTCGGATTATTTCGCGGATTTATTTTGATTTTTGGTTCCCGACGTTTCGTATGCTTTACAGCATCCATGGTCACGGGAGAGACTGAAGTGTTACATGTCTTGAAGGTATAGTTGTTACAGACAGCCTACACACAATTAACAAAACGAAAATTGCACCAATTACATTACAATATTTTTTTAACTTTAAACATTTTTATAATTTTAATTATAATTGAATATGGAATATTATTTATTTAATTTTTGCTATTATTCTAATAATTATTACAATTTTAAAATATTAATTATTAATCTATATTTAGTGTTGCCATTATTATATTTATAACCATAAAGAAAAATATAAAATATAGTATTAATTATTTAAGCCATATAATTGTTCTATGTGTAATTTAAAAAAGTTAAAATTAATTAAGGATAATAATTTTAATTTAGTTTGCTATTATTTAAAAACAACTTACTAAGCAACACTATTACTATTTATATCACTTGTCATTTTTCATTTGTAAAAGTATAATATAGTAATAATGTTGCTAGTAATAAATACCTGCATGAAGAATTTCCAATTTTATATTTCAATTTTGGTTTCTTATCGGTAGTCTATTGTCAGGAAACTTGGGGCATTTGAATAACTATCTTACACTCTTGCTTTAAAGGCTAACTAATATAATATTCAGGCATATGTATTTACAGTTCTGTTTTCGCAACTAAAGCCAAGTTTCAAAACACAGCCACAATCAAGTTAGTGATTGAATCTTTATTGGTATGTAATACGCGCACCAAAATTATTCTTAAGATAACAGATAATCTATATTATCTTTCTCAATAAAAAGTCGACGAAACGAAACGCAAAAAGATTTCTTCAAATCGGACTTAGAAAGTCAACAAATCTCACAAGTAATTCTGTTTTATACATATATTAGTAATTGACAAGGAATGTGAAGACTTGCTACAAAATTTTATTCTCTCTAACTCAATAATTATATGTACAGGTATTAATTGGGTAGTCTGTTGATTCCCTTTTATAGAAATACTAGCTGACCCGACAGACGTTGTCCTGTCTACACGTCTTTAATTTGAAAATTTCAAACTTTTTTTAATAAGCTAAAACATTCTGGACCATTTTGATGAAAATTATTATTCAAATTGTGAATCTAAACCATTCTCAGATCCCCTTGAACACACACAAAAAATTTCATCAAAATCGGTCCAGTCGTTTGAGAGAAGTTCAGTGACATACACACTCACAGAAGAATTATATATATAAAGATACATTGAAGAAGACTAAAATATTGATTACATCACTTTTTTTTTGTTTTATTATATAGTGTCATTAATTGCTCATGTGTGGTTTCACTACGATGTTGGTACAAGTAGCAAATAATTCGTAGGCTAGCGCCCGACGGCCGGAGGCGCTAAATCTCATTAAGTGCGACGGCCCCTGTTCTATGAATATATTATGATTTAATATAAATCAACTATAAACCCCTTGCGTGAAACTACAGATTAATGTATCCGGAAACGGGTTCGGGTAATTTACGTTTCGAAATCCTAAAGTTGATGTTTATTTAGAATTAATTAAGTCTTAATAAAATCTTAAAACTCGATATCGTGTATTATGTTCATATACTTTTTACAAATCCAAAACATATAAGATTAAATACGCCGCAGTCTATTCTTAAAGTTAATGTAAGTAATATTCCCTAGGTATCCTACAGGAGACATGAAGCTTATCCTAGGAGGGGTTGCTACAAAGGCCCAGGGGGTTGGACGGCTTAAGTTGCGATCTACAAAGCTATTTCAAATGGAACATGATCCCTAAACTATACCTGGCCACATATTTGTAGCAAACAATTTTTCTAAACGAGGAGAAATAAATTTATGTGATACATTAAATATTGAATGCGCAAAGAATTGTATACGCTTTATTCAGTGTTCTATCGTGTGTTAATCAAAACCTTTGGAGGCACGACATATCGTTGGTTCACTATTACAAGGTTCTATGTTACAATTTTAGTACTTATTTAGTTATTAATGCTACAAGGTTCTATGTGTCATTAGCTACAGTTTTGCAAAAATAAACCACTAGATAGCGGCACTGTAATTACAAAATATTCAATTTTATATAGTTCTATGTTGTATTTTTTACAATAACAAAATAACGAAGTTCTATGTCAAAATTACTAAACTTCATTAAAATTAACATAGAACCTTGTAATAGTGAGCCAACGATTATGTATGTACACAGGTACGATTCCCAATCACTAGTGTAAAATCTTAGCTTCAGTAAAATCATAGCAATTCCAGTGTAAATAGATAACATTTTTTTTAGATTAGTTACAATTTTAGACAATCCACCACGCCTGCTGTCTCTGGCCCGTGGTACATTATTTTTAAGGTTAAAAGCTATAGTTATTTTTAAAAACAGATTACACAATTCTATACGTTATACAACTATAGATTCGCATATATAATAAAATAGGACATAGTCTTAATTCGGAATTTTGTTTATTTAGTGGTTTCACAAATTGTCAATAGTAGGAGAGCCCAAGAGGGGATTTTTGCAGTTACTCAAGCGCGGCAAATAAACATAAGGGGGAATACCTTGCACTCTATTGAATACCTCCGCCATAATATAAGTCCTCTATATAAGGACGAGCCTCTAGGGCAGCCGATCAAAATATTAAAAAAATATTTTGATAAGGTAGAAATACTTGAAACAGTCAGATTAAAGTACAGGTGGGCTAGTTACATCCTGAAAAGTGTGCAATTCAATAATCTGCCGATTTGCACAAGCCAAAGAGATAAAAATCAAAATAAACTTTATAGTCGATTATTGAATTGCACGCTTTTGTAAATGCAATAATAAATATAACTTTTATAG